ATAAAAAACAGGTGTGTCACAAATGGCTTGAAGTTTCTTTCAAGTTGTCATAAAAAAATATTTTAGCTTAAGCTTATATAAGTTTAAATACTTTTTCAAAATCAAGTTTAATTTGAATAAAATTTCAGGGCAAACTCGAGTTGATAACAGGATGCCCTGCATCTTCTGTGGACTTACAACTGTTTGATAAAGAGAGCAACCTGATTGGACCAATGAATGATGATGATGCCTTATTTGGTTCTTATCCTGTTGAAGATAATATGAGAATACATGTGAGTATGCATTTACTGCCATTTGTGCACTACTGCGTGAATGGTTCAGATAAAACTTTTTCAGCTCCAATTAGCAATCAACTGCTGTCAATCAACTTAAAGTGTTTTGGAACCTGGTTGAATAGTCTCCTTCACAGTTCCAATGCCACATCTTGAAATGAGCATGCAATGAAAGAAATCTTCTCTCACACCTTTCACGCTCTGAAGCGGTCATCTCACTTTGATGCAAAGGCACGGCTACCTTTTAATATTGTGCAGGGAATCGTGAAGAAGACTATTAAGGTTATTCTTTGTTGATAAAATTGTTGTTGTTGTTGAACTATATTCAAGTTATAATTTTTCACTTGACCAGGTCATTGATAGAGATCCAAAGAAAATTGCAGGAGAATTTGAAGATTTATCCAAAGTTGAAAAATATGAGATAAGTGAAGATGATTATAGCAAAAAGACAGGTAAACTCATTGTACCCAGACTTTTTCCATTAATTTAAAACTCTTTTTCCCATTGGTGGTAAATAGGTAGGGGACTCTTTTTCCCATTGGTGGTAAATAGGTAGGGATGAACTAGGCCTTGTATTTTCACCTTGTCAGTAGTATGAAGACCTTGCAACGATCATAAGTATTTTTTCCTTACTGGCCTTGGGCTTGATAAAGACTACTATCTGAATGTGTTCCACCCATTCCCTCTTATCAAATAATGTAGACTTGAAAAACTCAAAATAACACATTTTAAATGTTTTTCATTCCCTATTATAATAACAGACTCAGTGAGAGCTTTTAAAATGAGGAATAAACTTGGAAGATTTGCAGAAACAACAGCAGAAGATGAGGAACAGAAAAAAGCTAAAGAGAAAAGAGAACAAGAAGAAGCAGAAGCAATTCCTGTTGGRTCAAGATGTGAAATTAGAATTGGTGGAAATGCTAAGCGTGGAGAGGTGATGTTTGTAGGTAAGCCTATGGTCAGAACTGGTTTTGATAAACAATATGTAGTTATGCAAACTACAATAAACTTGCCTCCCTTCTACCGCAGAAGGCATCCAACTCCAGAAAACTGAGGAGAATGAGATACTTTGATATCCCCCATTGCCGAACAGACAGACTTAAAAAATCATTTATCATAAGTCATGCAATGGAACGATTTAGCTGACTGAAATCTATTGATTGTGTATTTATGGTTTTACCTTTTTTATTATCTATTTACATGTATAACTTTATTTATAACTTGTTATCCACGTAATTCAGCCCTTGGCTGCAATGTGTATTTCTTTATTAAACGATCTATCTTATCTTTTAAGTAGAAATGATAAATAAATAAGTATTTTGTTGTGTTGAATGCTGCAGGCAAAACAGACTTCAAACCTGGATACTGGGTTGGTGTAAAGTATGATGAACCATTGGGGAAAAACGATGGAAGGTAAATTCCATTCAATACATTATTAATAAACTGAAAGAAGAGACTGCGAGTGAGACACTATGATTCATGTAGACCTCAGAGCTAATCAGGTTTGAATATTTCCTGATTTAGTGTTGCTGGCAAACGRTACTTCACATGCATAAATAAATATGGTGGCTTTGTACGACCAAAAGATGTGGTTGTGGGAGACTTTCCAGAAGAAGACCTTGGTATCGCATCAGATGAGGAAATGTGAAAAAACAGCGACGAGGATACAGGATTATTTTATTTAAGCTTTATTGCTGCAGCTCAACATATGTGACAAGATGTCATCAAATTAGTACTACCATTATAATTATATATATTAATTGTGTGAGTGTCACATTTTGTAAGCTTGCAAAATGCACTGTAATATACCCAGCAAATCTTTAGTTTTTATGGTGTTAGGATGGATATCACAGTTGCTGTAAATCCTTTATTTTTAATGATAAAAAGTTAATGTAGAGGGGATATATCTGTACAGAAGGTGTACAAAGTTATCAACTGGAATATGTTATCCTCTCCATAGAATTTATTGGATTTTACCTCCTGGATAAGGATCTATGTAAAAGATAGCGCTATCCACCTTTTGCATAATTGATCCATGGAGTGGTAATGATAATAATATTTCTTGTGCCACCATAGAGTTGTAAGTTTATTTTTATGAATGCTAGAGTGATCGCACTTAATCCGTGCAACTGTACAAACTAAATAGTGCTATTTAGTTGTATTTAGTAAATCGTGCATGTGGTACGGAAATTAAATTGAATTGATACAAATGAAGCACTCAATGCCGTCCTGCTTCAGATCCACTTTAAGTACAAATTAGTACTACTTAGATTTTGTACAGTTGCAGGGATTAAGTGTGATCACTTTACAATGCAAAAATATAACTGGTAAAGCCTGTTTTGTTTCTGCTGCAGCACATTATATTATATAAGCTCAATTTTTACCAGGAARTACATTGAAAACTGACCAAAATATTATCTTGCACTTGAGCTGACATTGTACATGTTTTCATATTTTGCTGCTAGTAAGGCCTTGATTACACTAGTAATATATAAAGTTTAATTACAAGATTCCATTACAAGAAGAATAAAACAACTTGTAACGAACTTGAAAAGTTGTGTCCTGTACATTTAGTACAATCATATAATAATAAAGTAGTCCGAGATGAAGGATATGGTTTTAGCTTTGTTAGTAGAGAGGCAGTGGCGTTAAGGGATGGGATGCTTGCCATTGACAACTTGAATTTTCATTTTCTTTTCACACTCCACACTAGTGATGCCTTTCATTGCTACATTTATATACTTGTGAAAGTTACCATGGAAACAAGTTTCCATGGAGTTCAGTCATGTAATGTTTTTAATACAAGATATACATACACTTCTGGCATTTCATACCTAAAATACAAGATTTTATAGCACCTTATAAAGAAGTAATAGTTTTCGCATGATCTGACGTTTTAAAAATATTTACAAAACTCAAAAAAATGTGGATGAACTCTGGTCAGCATTCTATTCCAAACTTGTCAAAGTTTCTCGCTATTATCCCAAGCTGAAGATGCACAGTTCCCATRGCTTCAGTTTTTAATCTGTACCTATCGCTACCACTGTAAATCACATCTGAAGTTTTCAACTGTGGTGCTCCTCCRACGAAAAAAGTTCTCATTTGCTCTCTCCAAGTTCCTGTAGGTCGCCAAGTCACGCAATCCACAGTATGAGTGCCTGGCGAAGTGGGAACATGACAATATCCATACCCGTAAATCTCATTTCTCCCGTACATGTCYTGATGCCATACCTGGAAGTGAAATTTTGGCCATCCTTTGAGTCCCTTCGTTGCGAAGTGAAGATCAATMGGATGACACCATGTCGCTTTTTCCTCATTTTGTGGATTGTCTACTTGTGTTTGGCCTTCTTTTTGACCTGCTATGAGTTTCCAAGAACCTTCTACATGTACTGACCATTTGCAGTAGAGATTGTGTGAAGGAAAACCACTCGCTCCGAGTATTTCTCCGATGACATGGAGCTCCGCCATTTTCGTTTATTTACGAGCGGAAAAACGCCGCGAAAAAATGCATACGACACTGCGCATGACCGGAACTACGCATATTTTCATGTTTCTTTTTCCTTACTTGATTAATTTACTTAAAAGATTATATGAATATATATAATAAATGTATGTTTTAGTATCTATACATAGATGATTTATGCAGGTAAAGCTTCTGACTTTGATCGTATTTTATTTTTTTCTGTCCCGACTCAATCTTCCTCCGGAATATTGTCAGCGCAGTACTGGAACGAGTTTATATTTCGTGGGAAATTCAGAACGACGTGCATCAAAATGTGCAAAATATATTTATAAGAGTTTAAAATATAGCCTTATGAGCTCTCCCAAGGAAACAAAGCCCATGTGCAAATATGGTACTGAATGTTATCGCAAAAATCCAACCCATTTTGAGGAATTTCGTCACCCAAAAGGTAAGGTACTTTTTTACACTCAGTGAAGATTGAAACTTAAGCTTAACTTATTCACATCTAAGTGATTATGAAATAATTGGCACATTGTTATTAATTCTCTTTAACTCCATTGTGTCTATATTCTAATCTGATACATACACACGAATGACGTCAAAATGTGACTGACAAYGTACAAGGTACTCTGGAAACGAGACGAAGAGGAGTAGATTGACAGTATTAGAAGAGGRGTAGATTGTATTATGGGGTACATACTACATCTTTCTGATAAATGATAGGAGATGGAGCACACTTAATAATTTTTTACTCTAAACTTTATGATCTCTTTGTCCCTATCTCAGTCGACCATCTCAGTCTCTCCTACTCAGAAGACTTCTTATTAATGCTTTGGGTTCCCTGTGTGATTTGGGTCCCCTCTGTTCTGTTTCCCAAAATAAGGGGTTCGAAGGGGTTCGGGTAAAAGGTACACTGTCTTGTTTATAGAGTATTTTACCAGTTTTTTATAACTTACTAGTAGTTAGGTGGAATTTTGACAAGAGTTTGCCAAAACCCCTCATTTGATCAGCCACACACCTGCTGAAGCAAAATATCACATTTCTTAGAAATAACACTTTGCACTACATGTCCACCCCAGATATGAAAGACCATAGTGATGATGAAGACAGTCCACCAAGGAAAAGACAAAGAAGTTCAAGTCCCTGCAGAAGCTCACCAGGTTCTAGTGCATCCAGTGATGTTCATCACAGCTKTGAAAACAAACTCTCTTTTTATTTCACAAAAGTGAGGGGAATTCCAGGAAAATACAATAGGGATGCACTTGCATTAGGGTTAAAAGGTTGGTGTTTGCTGCAATGACCTCTTTGTAGGGGGTCTTTGATCTTTAATTTTATAGTTCTTCATTTATTTATAAAAATCTATTTTAGATATTCTTTCTCATAAAATGGGGGATTTAGAAGCATCTGTACAGGTAAAGGAATAT